TGGGTGGGTGGGTGGGTGGGTGGGTGAGTTCCCTGCGTGCCGCTGGCTGCTTTTGCGGCAAAGGAGTCGTCTCTCCTTAGCACGAGAAGCCCCCATTTTGGGGGTGAACCCCCCCTTTGCACACCTCCTTGCCTACCCCAGGTGGTACCGTGGGAGTTTGGGATGAAATCCCAGCAGTCTCTGTTTATTTCTCCCCCGTCTGCTCTTCAGAAGCTGGAGCGGAAGAGCTCGAGCTCCAGCCCCTTTTCGGAAAGGCCGGGATATTTATAGCTGCCTGGCTCAGGGAGTTGGGATTTGCCATGCTGCCTCCATCCCCCCCATCCTGCCGCAGCATCCTTCAGCTGTGTCCTGCCCTGGAGCTGGGGACAAAGCCCAGCCGTGGCCATGGGGACAACTCTGGGGGTCTCTGTTTGATACCCAGGGTCCCTGGGACGTCTCTGTCCGATCCCTGGGGGAATCTCCTTGCAATGCCAGGTGTCCCCTTGGATGCTCTGTGTGTGACCCAGGGGTCTGCTGGGGCTCTCTGCCTTTTTTTGGATGCTATGAAATTGTTTTAGCATTAATCTGGGGAGCTCAGGCCTGGAAGCATCACTCTCCCTTCCCGCTCACAGCCAGCTGCTCCTCTCCACGCTGTGCCACCCCGACCAGGTGTCCCCATGGAGTGACCCTGCCCAGGGGTCCCGGCAGCTGTGCCAGCACGGGGGGACGCTGGCTGCCACCACCATGAGTGACTTCTGGCACAAGCTGGGCTGCTGCGTCGTGGAGAAGCCCCAGCCCGTGAGTACCCCCCACCCCGTGCAGCCATTTCGGGCAGGGCCGTGGGGTCAGCGGGGGCTGATGGCCTTCATCCCCTTGCAGAAGAAGAGGAGGAGAAGGATCGACCGCTCCATGATCGGGGAGCCCATGAACTTCGTGCACCTGACGCACATCGGCTCCGGGGACATGGCTGCGGGAGAGGGGCTGCCCATGGTACCCTGGGGGCCGGGGGGGCCTGCCTGGGGGGCTGGGGCTCAGGGTTGGGGTGCTGGGTCTCCCACCTGGGTGACAGGTGGTGCTTTTGGGGTGGCAGGTGTTGGTTTTGGGGTGGTGGAGTCTCACAGTTGGGTGCCGGCTGTTGTTTTGGGGTCCTGGGTGTTGTTTTGGGGTGCTGGGTGTTGTTTTGAGGTGCTGGGTCTCATGGTTGGGTGCTGGGTGGTTTTTTGGGGTGCCGGGTGTTGTTTTGGGGTGCTGGGTCTCAGGGTTGGGTGACAGGTGGTGCTTTTGGTCTGGTGAGTGTTGGTTGTGGGATGCTGGGTCTCAGGCCTGGGTGCTGGGTGTTGTTTTGGGGTGCTGGGTGTTGTTTTGGGGTGGTAGCATCTCACAGTTGGGTGCTGGGTGTTGTTTTGGGGTCCTGGGTGTTGTTTTGGGGTGCTGGGTCTCAGGGCTGGCTGATGGGTGTTTTTTTGGGGTGCTGGGTGTTGTTTTGGGGTGCTGGGTGTTGTTTTGGGGTGCTGGGTCTCAGGGCTGGCTGCTGGCTGTTTTTTTGGGGTGCTGGGTGTTTTTTAGGGGTGCTGGGTCTCCCGGCTGGGCGAGGGGGTGGCACAGGGGGGTGACAGGTCCTCTCTGCAGACTGGTGCTGTCCAGGAGATGAGGTCCAAGGGCGGCCGGGAGCGACAGTGGAGCAACTCCCGCGTGTTGTAGCGTGTGAGTGGCACCCCCAGCGTCCCCTCCGAGCCACCACTCTGAGGAACACCCAGCTGAGCCACCGCTTGGGCACTCCCACAACCCATCCTCTTGCATTTTGCAGATTCCTGGCTTTTTCAGCCCGAACTTGAACTGCCTGACCCCCCCCCGCTGGAGGAGAAGCCGACCTGGAGTGCTTGAACCCCGCGGTATTTATGCAGCACCATCCTCACCCAGCTCCCGGTGACTTTGGGTCGTCATCCCTCTGGAAAATCCCTCCTTCCCGGAGGTCCTGGCTGGTGACACGGGGAGGGAGCAGGGACAGCAGCCCCCATCTCCTGCCCCACCTGGAAAGGACACAGCCACCCCCTGAAACGTGCCAGGAGCTGCCAGGCGCAGCACACGTGTCCCAAATCCTCCCAGTTTTCCCTTTTCCCGCTCCCGTGTCTCCCACGGGCTGCATGGTGGTGCCTCAGTTTCCCCAGGGAACCAGCCGTGGTGCAGAGGCAGCTTTGATGCCTCCCAGAACATCACAGAGGAGCAAAACCAGGATTAAGCCCTGATATTCTGGTGCCAAACCAGAGTTAAACCCGAGATGTTCTGGTGTCAAACCAGGAATCGATGTCAAACTGGGATTAAACCCCAACTCCTTGGAGCAGAACTGGGATTAAACCCCGATGCTTCGGTGCCAAACCAGGATTCGATGTCAAACTGGGCTTAAAGCCCAATTCCTTGGAGCAGAACCGGGATTAAACCCCGATGCTTCGGTGCCAAACCAGGATCCAACCCCAAGGCTCGGCTGTCTCCGAGCCCGCAGTGCCTCCAGCCGGCATTCCACTGCCGCCAGACTCCCACCTCCCCCCCTTTTTTTAGGATCTGTTCTTCTTTTTAAGCTCCAAAACCCACCTGAGCAGCCTCCATCACCTCGGGCAGGACCGTGGTGGGGTCCCCTCCACCCGGGATTGTCCCCAGGCCGGACAGGGCCTGACCCGAGAAGGGCTCTGGAATTCAGGCGCGGGTGTACATAGTTTAATTAGCGCCAGGATTAAATATTAAATAGCACGTGCTGGCTGACAGAGCCTTTCCCCTGCCCTGTGCTCTGGTGGGAGCTGGGCTTTTCCAGCCCCTGTGTTGTGCTCGGGTCAGGGTTTTTGGGGGAAAAAACATTCCACCCTTGAAATAAATGCCTCGTGCTGGCCCAAGGGGTGGGTGCACGAGCTTCCCCAGGCTCCTCGCTCCCTCCTCGGCTCCTGGAGCAGCCAAATCCACTGGGAAAAGCTGATATTCACAGCAGGCAGAGGCCATGACTTTTTATGGCACAACCAGTTTCCTCCTGGCTGGGCTGGACTCGGGAGTGTGGCTGCACTGACACCCCCTCCTTGGACACCCCAAAATGTTCCTGTGACCCATTGTAGAGGGGATTGCACCCCAGGGAAAGAGGGGGTGCACCCCAAGCTCGAGTGGGGCAGCACCCCGTCCCAGAATAAAAGCCAAGAGCCAAAACTGGAAGAAAAGGGAGATTTAATCCTTGGAAAACGGTGACACTTCTGGACGGCTGCATGTCCGGACCCACCCTCTGGGGCCCCCTCTGCCCCCCAAGGAAGGAAGAGCATCAAGAACTCCTTAACTCCCCCACCCCAACGCCTTCATTAAGGGGATGCAACTCCTGCCCAGGGCATCCCCAAAAACCCACCCTGGGGACCACTGGGGCGGAGGGAGCCACTGGGGGGGACAAACCACGACGAGGACCAGGAGCTGAGCTCTTACACAGGCAGCTGCAACCCCCCCACACCCAGGCACCCCACGGGGCCACACTCAGGGACCCCAACTTCTCATCCACACCTCAAAAAACCACCGGGGTGCCTGCTGCTATTTCGGGGAGCCGGGGGGCTGCCCCACGGCGATGCGGCTGACCCGCTCCAGGACATCCTGGGGACACAGCGGGGGCACGGCCTGCGCCAGGGGACACTCCTCCACCAGGCTGTTCATGGGGGTGGGCGGGGGCACCACCTCCTCCTCGGGACCCCCGGCAGCCCCCAGGCCCCCCAGCGCTGCCCGCAGGATGGGCAGCACCTTCTTACGAGCGGCCACGGCGTTGCCCTGGGCGTAGGCGGCCACGCGGGGCCAGGGGCTCTGCAGCGGCCGCAGCAGCAGCGACGGCGACGTCGCCTCCTCCAGCGCCCGGCACAGCTGCAGGGGGGTGAGCAGTGAGGCTGGGACCTGCCCAGCGCCCCCAAAAACGGGAGGTTTTGGGGCAAAGCACAGCCGGGAAGAGGCTGACTCACCGTGCTGCGCAGGGCATCCTGCGCGCTGTAGACGGCGAGTTTCCGCGTGGGCTCGTGGCGCTCGTTAAAGGACACGGTCATGGCCACCAACCCCGCGTAGCCACGGGCCTGGCAGAAAGCCTCCAGCTCCTGCAGCAAGCCAGGCCGGAGCAGGAACGTCTGGACAAGAGGGGAGGGGTCTTGGCGTCACCGTGGTGTCCCCGGCGTGCCACTCCCTGCCTCAGTTTCCCCCTCAGACCCAAGTCTCACTTCCAGGTCCTCGAAGACGCCGCTGATGGCGATGACAACCTCGTCGTTGGAGAGGACTTTGAGGTCCTTCCGCAGCATCTGCTCTGTCGTCAGCCCTGGGAGGTGGCCAGGGGATGAGGCCCGGGGCACCTTCCTGTCCCCAAGGAGAGGGGGACACGCTGACACACACCTGTGACATCAAACTTGGCCGCCTGCAGGGCTCCGAACACGGCGTCGCGAGCCGGCAGCTCCGGGAACCTCTCCTCGAGCAGGGACACGCAGGCCACGTCCCGGGGTGTCACCTTGCCCGCGGCCGGGCTCAGGTTGATGCAGTCCAGCAGGATGGTGCCTGCGGGGACGAGCGGGGCTGCGTTGTCACCTTGTCACCGTCCCCGGGGGCAAGGCTCAGGCGGGACCCCCGTGCTCACCGTGCAGCAGCGCGGCCGTGGTTCTGTCCAGCACGCCCGGGGGGCCCTGCAGGATCCGCTCGGTCACCAGCGTGGCGCAGGAGCCCACGGGCTCCACGGTCACCTGGCACGGGGGACCACGGTCCCGCTCCAGCGGCCGGTGGTCCAGGACCTCCACCACAGCCTCTTCCAGGGCAGCATCAGCACTGGCGGGCAACGGGAAGGGTCACCCCCGGCAGAGCCTGCCAAACCCTCATATTTCCTTTTTCCCCCTCAAAACTCGCCAGAAATGGATCGATGTCACCCACCCCGCGTGACAAAATCAACCGCGGCTCCGCGCGGGTGGCCCTGGCTGTCCCCAACGTGCTCACCCGGGCAGGACGTGGTGATCGACCAGCGTCAGGGAGAGCAGCCCGGCCTGGTGCAGCCCGCCCAGGTCGATCTCATCCCGAAAAACCAGCGAGGCGGCCGGGATCCCCCGATCCCGCAGCAGGAACGTCGTCTCGGTCCGCAGCGCGAAGTCGGCGCGGGGGATGTTCAGCACCGGCACGAAGGCGGCTTTGGGAGCCGGGGTGGTCTGCAGCAGGGGGGGGGGGTCACACCCAGTGAGGCGTCCCCCGAGGCCACTGGTGGTCACCGGGCTGGTGGCCGAGCCTCACCTGGGCGAGGAAATATGCCAGGGCCAGCGCGGAGACGGTGGAGTCCAGGTCACAGGCCTCGTTGCCCATCACCACGTGGATCTCCTGGTGCTGCTGGATGTGATCCTGCGGGGATGGGAGGTGTCAGGCACAGCAGCAGCACCAAAAACCTCCAAAGCGCTCCCTTGTCCTCAGCAGCGTCCCTGGAGCCACTCGTCACGGGTGTCACCCACGGGTTGCGCCCTCCTAGCGAGGTCCTGGCAGCCCTGGGGATCCATTTTTGGCATTAAATCCTCAGGGGTTTGGGGTGTGTGGGGAGTCAGGTGTGGTGGGATTCCAGGAAAACTCAGCTGAGCCACAAGGTGAGGCCAGGGACCATCCCAGCCCCGCAGCCCTGGGAGCACTGAGTGCTTTACCCCATTTATTCTAGAATTTGGGGCAGGGTGTCACCCCAAAACATGGTGTTTCACCCTCTTTTGCTTGCCTGCAGCAGCAGGAAAAACATGTCACTCCTCTGTCCCCCCGCCCACGGGAGCCACCCCATCCCCAGCCCTGATTTTTGGGACAATTCTCTGCTGCCATAACCCAGATTTGCTAATTTTTGATAGAAACTGAGGACAAAAAAAACCCAAAAAACCGACCCGAGAGCAGCCGCAGCCCAAACCCCCCGGCAGGTCTGGGATGGGGCTGCAGCAGGGAAACGTTTTTGGGGTGTCCCTGGTGTGGCTGTGCCCTGTGGGCACCCCGAGCCCCCGTTCCTGCTGAGCCCAGCCCCGAGGGCACCCCGCTTTGCTGGCCCCTCTGCTCCCCACGGCACCCCAACCCACGGGGCTCACCTCCTCCTGCTCCCCCATTTACCTGCACCCCAATTCCCTGCTTCCAATTCCCCCTGCTCCCCCAATTCTCTGCACCCCAATTCCCCCCTGCACCCCCATTTCCCTGCTCCCCAATTCCCTCCCTGCTCCCCAATTCTCCCTCTGCTCCCCCAATTCCCTCTGCACCCCAATTCCCCCCTGCACCCCCATTTCCCTGCTCCCCAATTCCCTCCCTGCTCCCCAATTCTCCCTCTGCTCCCCCAATTCCCTCTGCACCCCAATTCCCCCCTGCACCCCCATTTCCCTGCTCCCCAATTCCCTCCCTGCTCCCCAATTCTCCCTCTGCTCCCCCAATTCCCTCTGCACCCCAATTCCCCCCTGCACCCCCATTTCCCTGCTCCCCAATTCCCTCCCTGCTCCCCAATTCTCCCTCTGCTCCCCCAATTCCCTCTGCACCCCAATTCCCCCCTGCACCCCCATTTCCCTGCTCCCCAATTCCCTCCCTGCTCCCCAATTCTCCCTCTGCTCCCCCAATTCCCTCTGCACCCCAATTCCCCCCTGCACCCCCATTTCCCTGCTCCCCAATTCCCTCCCTGCTCCCCAATTCTCCCTCTGCTCCCCCAATTCCCTCTGCACCCCAATTCCCCCCTGCACCCCCATTTCCCTGCTCCCCAATTCCCTCCCTGCTCCCCAATTCTCCCTCTGCTCCCCCAATTCCCTCTGCACCCCAATTCCCCCCTGCTCCCCCAATTCCCTGCGCCCCATTTCCCTTTCCCAATTCCCTGCACCCCCATTCCCCGCTCCCGTTCCCCCTGGACCCCCCAGCCCCCCGTACCTGCAGGGCCGCCCGGTTCCCCGCCACGAAGCGCTCCATGAGGGCACGGATCCACGGCCCGAGGCGCCAGTACGGCCCAGTACGGCCCAGTAGTACGGCCCAGTATCACCCCAGACTATCCCAGTATCACCCAAACTGTCCCAGTATCCCCCAGTCCATCCCAGTCCAGCTCAGTATAAGCCTAGACTGTCCCAGTCCAGCGCAGTATCAGCCGGACTATCCCAGTACAAGCCCAGTCCGTCCCAGTACCACCCCAGACTATCCCAGTATCACCCGGACTGTCCCAGTATCCCCCAGCCCGTCCCAGTCCGGCCCAGCAGAAGCTCAGACTGTCCCAGTACAAGCCCAGACTATCCCAGTCCAAACCCAGACTATCCCAGTCCAAGCCCGGACTGCCCCAGTATGTCCCAGTATGTCCCAGTCCGGCCCAGTCCAGCCCAGACTGTCCCAGTGCAAGCCCGGACTGCCCCAGTATGTCCCAGTATCCCCCAGTCCGTCCCAGTCCGGCCCAGTACAGCCCAGACTATCCCAGTCCCAACCCAGACTATCCCAGTCCCAACCCAGACTATCCCAGTCCCAACCCAGACTATCCCAGTCCCAACCCAGACTATCCCAGTCCCAACCCAGACTATCCCAGTCCCAACCCAGACTATCCCAGTCCCAACCCAGACTATCCCAGTCCAAGCCCGGCCTGCCCCAGTATGTCCCAGTCCGGCCCAGTACAGCCCAGACTATCCCAGTATGACCCGGACTGTCCCAGTCCAAGCCCGGACTGCCCCAGTATGTCCCAGTATGTCCCAGTACAAGCCCAGACAATCCCAGCACAGCCCAGACTGTCCCAGTCTCCCCCAGTCTCCCCCAGTCCGTCCCAGTCCGGCCCCGCCGCCCCTCCCCCCGCGCCGCAGGGGCCGCTGGGTGGGGGCGGGGCCTTCCCGGCATCCCCCGCGCTGGGGGGGCTCGGGGGGGACCCCAAATCTCCTCTTTTCCCCCCAAAACCCTCCCGTGACCCCCAAATCTTCCTCTTTTCACCCCCCTCCAAAGAAGGGAAAAGGAGGAAAAGGAAGGATTAGGGGAGAAAAATGAAGGAAAAGAAGGAAGGGGGACCCTGGTCCAGCCCTGGGCTCGGGGTGGAGCTGTGAGAGCAAATTGAAATTCTCCTTCCCTTGTGCCTCTTAAATGGCACTGCATTTTATTATTTTATTTTATTTTATTTATGTTAAAAAAATTATTTTATTTGAAATTTTTATTTTATTTTTAATTCTATTCTATTTTATTCTCTTTTATTTTATTTTTTATTTTAAAATTTAATTTTATTATATTTTAAAAATTAATTCTATTAAATTTTCTTCTATTTTATTTTATTTTTAATTCTATTTTATTTTTTATTTTATTTTAAAATTTAGTTCTATTTTAAAATTTAATTCTATTCTATTTCATTTCATTTTATTTTTAAATTTAATTTTATTTTACTCTATTATATTTTTAAGTTAAATTCTATTCTATTCTATTATCTTTTATATATTTTTTCCATTATATTTAGTTTAATTTCATTTCCATTTCATGATCACTTCCTCATTTTACATCTTGCTTCATGTAATTGAATTTAATTTCATGGCTTCTATTTTATTTGTTCAGTATTTAGTGTCAGTCTGTCAATTAGAACAAATGGGTGTACATGTCTGTAGTTATTAATTACCAACCTTATTTATTTATCCATTTACTTCCCTATCAAAACATTTTCCTTTTATTTATTTAATGAATAAAACTCCTTATTTATCACTCAACTCCCTATCAGGACTATTTATTATCTGCAATATTTTATTTACCTATGATTATTTATTTATTTGCTTATTTTTTTAAGTATTTATTTCTATTATTTCATAAAAGTTTGGGTTTTTTTGCAGGAGTTTCCAGAGGCCCAGGACCCACCTGTGCAGAATTAGGGGCTCAGAGGATTCCAGGTGAGCTGGGGCAGGAAACCCAGGCTTGGAAAGCAGAATTTGGGAATATTCTTGATTTTTCCAAACCTTTTGCCTGTTTCAAAGCCAAAATTCCCAATTCTTTTGTCCGTTTAAAGGCCAAATTTCCAATTTTCTTGGATGTTAAAGAGCCAGATCTTCCAAACCTCCTGACAATTTCAAAGCCAGCGTAAAGAAATGGGGGAGGAAAAAAAAATCTCACCTAGATGAGTTAAATTGGACTAAAATTTACATATATACCTATATATAAAAATATCATATATATACATATGATATATGAAATAAAAGCAAGGAAAAGGGAGGAAAAACAAGGAATAAAGAAGGAAAAACAAGGAATAAAGAAGGAAAAAGGAGGAAAAGCAAGGAATAAAGAAGGAAAAGCAAGGAATAAAGTAGGAAAAGGAAGGAATAGAGAAGGAAAAAGGAGGAAAAACAAGGAATAAAGAAGGAAAAAAGGAGGAAAAACAAGGAATAAAGAAGGAAAAATAAGGATTAGGGGAGGAAAATGAAGGAAAAGCAGGAAAAGAGCAGGGGGTTAGGGTTATATATATAGATATATATGTATATACATATATAAATATACAGCGTAAAGAAATGGGGGAGGAAAAAAAAATCTCACCTAGATGAGTTAAATTGGACTAAAATTTACATATATACCTATATATAAAAATATCATATATATACATATGATATATGAAATAAAAGCAAGGAAAAGGGAGGAAAAACAAGGAATAAAGAAGGAAAAACAAGGAATAAAGAAGGAAAAAGGAGGAAAAACAAGGAATAAAGAAGGAAAAAAGGAGGAAAAACAAGGAATAAAGAAGGAAAAAGGAGGCAAAACAAGGAATAAAGAAGGAAAAATAAGGATTAGGGGAGGAAAATGAAGGAAAAGCAGGAAAAGAGCAGGGGGTTAGGGTTATATATATAGATATATATGTATATACATATATAAATATACATATTATATATGTATATACATATATAAATATACATATTTATATATGTATGTTTATATATGTATATACATATATAAATATATATTTATATGTACTAAAAATATATAAAAATATATTTATATATGTATATTTATATATGTATATACATATATAAACATACATATATAAATATGTATATTTATATATGTATATACATATATAATATGTATATTTATATATGTATATACATATATATCTATCAAGGAAAAGGGAGGAAAAACAAGGAATAAAGAAGGAAAAACAAGGAATAAAGAAGGAAAAAGGAGGAAAAGCAAGGAATAAAGAAGGAAAAGCAAGGAATAAAGTAGGAAAAGGAAGGAATAGAGAAGGAAAAAGGAGGAAAAACAAGGAATAAAGAAGGAAAAATATAAAAATTTTTTTTTTTTTTTTTAATATTTCTACCTCTGTATTTTCCTGAAATAGCCCGATTTTCCCTCCTCAGGCTGAGGTTTGGGATGCAGCTGCTCCTGGACAGACCCAGAGCATTCCCAGGAGCCTGATCGGAGCCGGAGCAGCCCCGGGGGTCCCATGGAGCAGGAGGGGAGCCCCCAGCCCCAGCAGGAGGCTGAGGGGGGGGACGGAATCCCCGGGGCTGGGGACGCAATTCCCGATGTCGGGGATGAAATTCCTGGTGTTGGTGATGGAATTCCCGGTGCTGGGGGTGGAATTCCCGATGTTGGGGACTCAATTCCCAACATAGGGTATGAAATTCCTGGTGCTGGGAGCACAATTCCCAGCGCTGGGGATGGAATTCCTGATGTTGGGAGCACAATTCCCAATGTTGGAGATGGAATTCCTGATGTTGGGGACACAATTCCCAATGTTGGAGATGGAATTCCCGGTGCAGGGGACAGAATTCCCGGTGTTGGTGACGGAATTCCCGGTGTAATGGATGAAATTCCCGGTGTTGGTGACAGAATTCCCAGCATTGGTGACACAATTCCCGGTGTTGGGGACAGAATTCCCGGTGTAAGGGATGAAATTCCCAATGTTGGAGATGGAATTCCTGGTGTTGGGGACAGAACTCCGGGTGTAAGGGATGAAATTCCCGGTGCTGGTGACGGAATTCCCGGTTTAGGGGATGAAATTCCCAGTGCTGGTGATGGAATTCCCAGTGTTGGTCATGGAATTCCCAGCGTTGGTGATGGAATTCCCGGTTTAGGGGATGAAATTCCTGGTGTTGGTGATGGAATTCCCGGTGCTGGTGGCACAATTTCCGATGTTGGTGACGGAATTCCCAGTGCTGGCGACACAATTCCCGGTGTTGGTGACGGAATTCCCAGTTTTGGTGATGCAATTCCCAATGCTGGTGGCACAATTCCTGGTGCTGGTGACACAATTCCCAGTTTTGGTGACACAATTCCTGGTGTTGGTGACAGAATTCCTGATGCTGGTGACGGAATTCCCAGTTTTGGTGACACAATTCCCAATGCTGGTGACACAATTCCCAATGCTGGTGACACAATTCCCAGTTTTGGTGACACAATTCCCGGTGTTGGTGACGCAATTCCCAATGCTGGTGACACAATTCCCGGTGTTGGTGACACAATTCCCAATGCTGGTGACACAATTCCCGGTGTTGGTGACGGAATTCCCAGTTTTGGTGACCCAACCCCCGGAGCCAGCCCCTCCCCGCCCGGGAACACCACCGGGGCCCGATCCTGGGGGGTACCCAGCCCCGAGCGACCCCCGGGGGGCTCCCCCCAGCAGCGGCAGCAGCCCCCCGAGGATTTGGGGTCCGCGCCGGGCGAGCCCCCCGAGGAGCTGTACCACGTCAAGTGGATCCGCTGGAAGGGGCAGCGCACGCCCCTGGTCACCCAGAGCCAGAACGGGCCCTGCCCGCTGCTGGCCCTCATCAACGTCCTCCTGCTGCAGTGGAAGGCAAGCCGGGGCTGGGGGGGCTCGGGGGGCACCCCAAACCCCCAGGGGAAGGGTCCCAGGGATGGTCCCCAGCCCCCTCTGGCCGCCCCCAGGTGAAGCTGCCCCCGCAGACGGAGGTGGTCACGGCCGAGGAGCTGATGGCACATTTGGGTGAGTGGGGACTCACCAGGGGTGGGGTGGGGGCTCGGCTGGGACCCCCACATTCCTTGGGGTGACCCCGCTGCCCCGCAGGGGATTGCATCCTGGCCACCCAACCCCGGGACACCTCGGAGGGGCTGCAGCTGAACTTCCAGCAGGTGAGGAGCGAGACGAGAACATCCGGGGGAGCTGGGCTATTCCCAGTTTTGGTGACACAATTCCCAGTTTTGGTGACACAATTCCCAATGCTGGTGACACAATTCCTGGTGTTGGTGACACAATTCCCAGTTTTGGTGACCCAACCCCCGGAGCCAGCCCCTCCCCGCCCGGGAACACCACCGGGGCCCGATCCTGGGGGGTACCCAGCCCCGAGCGACCCCCGGGGGGCTCCCCCCAGCAGCGGCAGCAGCCCCCCGAGGATTTGGGGTCCGCGCCGGGCGAGCCCCCCGAGGAGCTGTACCACGTCAAGTGGATCCGCTGGAAGGGGCAGCGCACGCCCCTGGTCACCCAGAGCCAGAACGGGCCCTGCCCGCTGCTGGCCCTCATCAACGTCCTCCTGCTGCAGTGGAAGGCAAGCCGGGGCTGGGGGGGCTCGGGGGGCACCCCAAACCCCCAGGGGAAGGGTCCCAGGGATGGTCCCCAGCCCCCTCTGGCCGCCCCCAGGTGAAGCTGCCCCCGCAGACGGAGGTGGTCACGGCCGAGGAGCTGATGGCACATTTGGGTGAGTGGGGACTCACCAGGGGTGGGGTGGGGGCTCGGCTGGGACCCCCACATTCCTTGGGGTGACCCCGCTGCCCCGCAGGGGATTGCATCCTGGCCACCCAACCCCGGGACACCTCGGAGGGGCTGCAGCTGAACTTCCAGCAGGTGAGGAGCGAGACGAGAACATCCGGGGGAGCTGGGCTGCCTGCGGGATTTGGGGTGACACCTTCAGGAGTGACCCCCCCACCCCGTGTTTCTGCTGCCCCCCCAGAACATCAGTGACACCATGACGGTGCTGCCCAAGCTCTCCACGGGGCTGGACGTCAACGTGAGGTTCACGGGGGTCTCAGATTTCGAGTACACCCCCGAGTGCATCGTCTTCGACCTCCTCAACATCCCGCTCTACCACGGCTGGCTGGTGGACCCCCAGGTGAGCCCCCCCTGCCTGGCTGGGGGCTTCTGTGGGGGCACAGGAGGGACCCCAGGGCTGGAGGACTCTGCTGGGAGCAGCTGGGGATTGTCCTGGCCAAGGGGACCGAGCTGAGGAGGGATGTCCCAACCCTGGGAGGGCTCGAGGCCAGGTTGGATGGGGCTTGGAGCAACCTGGAGGTGTCCCTGCCTGGGGTTTGGGGGGACCCAGGTGAACCTGGTCCTGCAGGAGGTGTCCCTGCATGTGGATTTTGGGGACCCAGGTGAACCTGGTCCTGCAGGAGGTGTCCCTGCCTGGGGTTTGGGGGGACCCAGGTGAACCTGGTCCTGCAGGAGGTGTCCCTGCCTGGGGTTTGGGGGGACCCAGGTGAACCTGGTCCTGCAGGAGGTGTCCCTGCCTGTAGATTTTGGGGGTTCTAGATGAACCTGGTCCTGCAGGAAGTGTCCCTGCCTGTAGAATTTTGGGGGTCCAGGTGAACCTGGCCTAGCAGGAGGTGTCCCTGCCTGAGGTTTGGCGGGATCCAGATCATCTCCAGATGATCCAGAACTCCCCAGCCCGAAGCCCCCGGTGATGTTTGGGATGTGGCTCTGAGCCTGAGGCTCCTCTGGCCGTGGCAGGCGGCTGCACTGGGTGGTCCCGTCCCTGGCAGACCCCTCCAAGCCCACCAGCAGCTCCCCCCCTGTCCCTGCCATCCCCCAGAGCCACCTGGTCCTGCAGGAGGTGTCCCTGCCTGAGGTTTGGCGGGATCCAGATCATCTCCAGATGATCCAGAACTCCCCAGCCCGAAGCCCCCGGTGATGTTTGGGATGTGGCTCTGAGCCTGAGGCTCCTCTGGCCGTGGCAGGCGGCTGCACTGGGTGGTCCCGTCCCTGGCAGACCCCTCCAAGCCCACCAGCAGCTCCCCCCCTGTCCCTGCCATCCCCCAGAGCCCCGAGCAGGTGCAGGCCGTGGGCAAGCTCAGCTACAACCAGCTGGTGGAGAAGATCATCACCTGCAAACACGCCAGCGACTCCGGCCTGGTGAGCGAAGGTAACCGCGGCGCTGGGGGGCACAGCTGGGCACCCCCAGCCCCCACTGCTGGGTTTGAGGGTCCCGGGAGGAGGGAAGAGATGGGAGCCTTGGCTCCTGCTTCAGATTTGTTACATTGTGGTGTGGTGTTGTGTTAAAGTGTTAGGTTAAAAATGTGCTGAAAAGAATAGAGAGAGAGGATTCATCGGAAGGGAAAAGGGAAGGGAAGGGAAGGGAAGGGAAGGGAAGGGAAGGGAAGGGAACTAGTTGTTAGAGAACATCACAGTGGGTGGAAGGCAACTTGGGTGACACTGGTGAATAATTTAGAGAGCTCATATTCCTTTAAAAGGGAAGAAATAAACAGCAAAATAAAACAACTAACTTCAAGAAGGCAAACAAATTCAGATGAATCAGTGAAAAGACAGCAAAAATAAGTTAAAAGAGTAATTTTTTCCAATGGGGACAAAGACAAGAATTGCACAAAATCATATATTTCACAGATCTTCAACAAGTATAAAGTATTATAAGCACAAAAACACACAGTGAAAAATAAGAAAATTCAACACACATTATGGAAAACAAATAAGAAAGGAACAAGATTAATATGAACACAAACCCATATAAATCCAGTGACAGTGAAAGAACAAAAATTAAAATATTTACCTGCCATTCAAAAGAGAGTCAAGGATACTGACAGAGTGTAGAGAAGGGGCCAAAGGATTTCATAATCTTTTTCACCAGTTGTCACTAAACCACTTATTTGCAAGCAAATGGCCAACCTGGCTTCTACCAGAGAGCTCAAGTCTTAGCTCTGGTTAAGTTGATCTGAAGATATGGGCTAGAATTATGACTGCCATGCCAAACTTTGCACAATCACCTGCCTAAAAAAGGAAGGTTAGGGACATAAAAGCCATTATCAAATTTAAAAGAAAGCATTGAATGGGCAGTGCAGTTGGGATTCAAGGGGAGAAGTATTTTTTGGTTTATGTAGTAATTAATAACAGACCACTGTCCAAACCAAACACAGGGCATTGAAGCAGAGTTGAATATTCTAAAACTTCAATGACTAGCAGCAGTTCACAAGAAACATTTTTGCCATTACATATACTGCCAATTGAGCTAAAGTGGATTCATCTAACTCATAACTGAAATGAAATTATTATGTTTCTTCTCACTAAAAGCCAGAAGATGCTATAATTAAAGACAAAAATATTATTTATCTTCCTCAAATCAAATAGCGTCAGCAGAAAAAATCTGTATGGAACAATTATTTAGTTTCACTATTCAATTTTTACCATGATTTCTTTTCCTTGTTTCTTCCTGGTTCTTTATGGCAGGATGTCCATACATACATTTTAATACAACTGACATAGTCTAGACAAAATGAAATCAATCTTAAAATACCTGGGATCATGGGATCCAATGAATAAACAGTACTTCTAGCAGTGGTCTAAATCCCCACTCTTTTTACTCTTCACTGCAAGAAGACATGAGGGAAAAGACTTTAGAGGTAAATACACCCAAGTAAACAAAAGAGTTTAGACCTGACTGAAATCTGACTGAACGATAAAACCTAAATACTCTAACTTCAAGACAAGAGCCCAGTCTCCTCAGGAAGGAGCTGTGAATATGAACATTGCACACACAAAATTTGCAGGGAATTCTTAAATATAAAAAGATTTTCTGTTACAAGATCATAATCAGAAATCTATCATGTTGGCAAGCGCAGACTTTATGTTTGTTTAGTGAATGAAATTACACTACAAATATTGCCCCCATTTTTTTAAATTATTAAAAGCAGCAAGTTTTACATTAGGAGAAATAGAACATATTTTCATAAATTTTATAAAGAATAAAGGTCAAAAAGAAACTCATTATTAATTTAAAATACGTATAAACAAACAGTCTGCATTATACATTAGTTACATTTTAATAAGAAATACAAGTGTGGGTTTTGCAGCTAGAAAGAAATACCTATTTTTAAATTTTATTTGTATGACACTGTTTTGCAGAGGAAAAAGTACACACAGAGACTACTAAGAGGTACAATTAATGACTACGGACAGGTAGGAAGAAGATATTTAGCTTCCATATATGAACACTGCTGTCAGGTTGATCAGACTCAAAATGCAGGGAGTTAACAGTGGAAAAATTAATTAATATTTTACAATCATTATGCTGTTCTGCTGTTGGTTCTCTTGATCAAGCTGTTAGTTGATTTAAAAGACCAAGATCCTCACAGAACATTAATCATATTCCTGACATTTTAAATTCTGGGTGTGTCTGTTTTGTTTTGTAAATCTGTGCTGTATCTGAATCATGTGATTCAGACTGACTTAGAATACCACCAAAAAGATAACGAGAAGAGAAGAGAAGAGAAGAGAAGAGAAGAGAAGAGAAGAGAAGAGAAGAGAAGAGAAGAGAAGAGAAGAGAAGAGAAGAGAAGAGAAGAGAAGAGAAGAGAAGAGAAGAGAAGAGAAGAGAAGAGGAGGAAAGCAGGAAAGGAAAAAAAGGAAAGGAAAGGAAAAGGAAAGGGAGAGGAAAGGAAAGGAAAGGAAAGGAAAGGAAAGGAAAGGAAAGGAAAAAGGAAAGGAAAGGAAAGCTCGTGACTGTCAGAGAGTCCGAGCCGGCTGCTTTTCCCGAAAGCGCCACGGCGACCCCGCTGTCCCCGCAGGGCTGGTGGCCGAGCAGTTCCTGGAGAGCACGGCGTCGCAGCTGAGCTTCCACGGGCTGTGCGAGCTCACGGCCCGCGCCCGCGAGGGCGAGCTCGGCGTCTTCTTCCGCAACAACCACTTCAGCACCATGGTCAAGCACCAGGTGCGGCCCCGGAGCCCGCTGCGCCCCCCGGGACCCCCGCCCCGGCCTCACTGTCACCTGTCCCCTCTGCCCAGGGCCACCTCTACCTGCTGGTGACCGACCAGGGCTTCCTGCAGGAGGAGGGGGTGGTGTGGGAGAGCCTGCACAGCGTGGATGGGGACAGCTGCTTCTGTGACAGCGACTTCCACCTCAGCCACCCCCCGGGCAAGCAGGGAGCCCCCCAGGAGCACCGGCTGCAGCAGAGACAAGTGGACCAGGTTTGGGGACAAGTTGGGGGGACACCTGAGTGCCATCCCGGGGATCCCAGAGGTGCTGACCCCCCCTTTCTTTGTGCTCCTGGCAGGATTACATGGTGGCCCTGTCCCTGCAGCAGGGCCAGGACCCCCCCTCGGTGCTCAGCGACCTGGAGCTGGCGCGGCAGCTGCAGCACGAGGAGTACCAGCAGCACCATCCTCATCCTCACCATCCTCATCCTCACCATCCTCACCCTGCCGCTCCTCAGCCGCTCCCAGCGCAGGTAACCGGGTGTCCCCCCAGCCCTGGGGGGGTTTGGGGGGGTCTCTGCAGGTCCCCCCCAACAAGAGCTCAGTCCTGTCCCTGTCCCCACAGCGGCGGTCGCGGCAGAGGCTGGATTCGGACTGCACCCTCCTGTAGCACCTCGAGCCCGGGGGTCCCCGCACCCAGAGCCCCCCCAGACCCCGCTCTGCGTCCTCCAGGGACATCCCGGGGGTCCCTGTGGGGCTGGAGATGAGGGGTGTGACCGTCTGAGCCCACCCCAAACTTCCCAGTGGCCTTAACACGGCGGGGTCGCACTCAGGGGGGGTCCCACAGCTCAGTCCGTGCTCTGAGACACGGGGGGATGGGGGGGACAGGGACCCCCCCCTCGGCTCAAAATGTGGCCTTAGCCCTTGGCAAGTAAAGGACTTGTCCCCCTGCACGTGGGTCTGGCACCCTGACACTTGGGGGGGTTTGGGGGATTTGGGGGATTTGGGGTCACGGTTCCTCTGTGGGTTTGGGGGATTTGGGGTCACAGATCCTCTGTGGGTTTGGGGGAATCAGAGGGGCTTTGGGGGATTTGGGGTCATGGTTCCTCCGGGGTTTGGGGGATCGGCAGGGTTTGGGGGAATTTGGTGGGGTTTGGGGTCACGGATCCTCCGGGGTTTGGGGAATTTGGGGGATTTGGGGTCACAGTTCCTCCGCGGGTCTGGGGGAATTGGGGGGGGTTTGGGGGATTTGGGGTCATACAGGGGTGTGCCCCTGGGTTTGGGGGTGCCGGGGTGTACAGGGGTGTGCCCCTGGGTTTGGGGGTGCCAGGGGTGTACAAGGTGTGGGGTTTGGGGTGCCAGGGCTGTACAGGGGTGTGCAGAGGGACATATAAGGGGTACACATGGGGTGTGTAGGGATGAGCACAGGGCACACAGAGAGGGGGGTATAGGGTGTATAGGAGGCACATACAGGGCTGTCTGTAGGGTGTCTATGAGGCACATACAGGACTGTCTATAGGGTGTCTATGGGGCACATACAGGACTGTCTATAGGGTGTCTATGGGGCACATACAGGGCTGTCTGTAGGGTGTCTATGGGGCACATACAGGGCTGTCTGTAGGGTGTCTATGGGGCACATACAGGGCTGTCTGTAGGGGGTGTATTTGGGATCTATAGGGAGCACCGCAGGATCTATAGGGAACGCACCGATCCCATCTCGGCGGTCGATTACTCACGCCTAGGCCCCGCCCCGCCCCACGGCGGGCGCCTCTCTCCGCGGCGTTGCGGTGACGTCACTCCCGGCGTTGCGGTGACGTCACTGCCGCCGCTGCCTGGCGCGGGGCGCGCGCGGGACCGAGGGGGGCGAGCGGCGGCTCCGTGAGGGCTCCGAGCGGCGGCTCCGTGAGGGCTCCGGCGGCGGCTCCGGGTGAGTGCGGCCGGGCCGGGGGCACACGCGGGGGCCTCCCCGCTCCGGGAGGGGCCGCCCGGAGGGCCCCGCGGGACGGTCCCGGCTCGCCCCCGCCGCTCCAGGCCGGCGGCCGGGCCTTTCTGCGGGCGTTGGGCGCGCACCGGAGCCATCCCGGGCCTCCATCCGCGCTCGGTCGGGGTCGGGCAGGGCCCCCCGGGGCCGGCCGGGCGGGGCCGGGCGGAGGCGGGGCCCACAGCGGCCTCGGGCCCCGCCGGGGTCGCTGCCCCCCGGCCCGGCACGGCGCGCAGCCCCGGGCCCGGATCCCTCCCGGTCCCGTTTCTCTGCCCGCGGCTTGCAAACGTCAGGGTTTTGTCGGTTTCCAGCAGGACCGCTGCTAAAATCACCTCTGGGGGAGGGTCCGGCCCGGCGGTGCCCCCTCCTCCGCCGGCTCGGTGCCGCCGGTACCGGCACACCGCGCTGTGCCGCCGGTGCCCCGGCGCAGAGGAGCTGCCGGGCCTGACCGGGGCCTCACCCCGTCCTCCCACGCTCCCCTCCCGTTACCTGCCCGCGGCACGGCCGCGGGAGTCGGGAATTGCGGCACCTCCCTCCCGCCTGCCCTTGCGAAACCGGCCGCGGTGGTTCCTCTTCCTCGCCCAGCCGAGCGGAGCCGCCCCGGCTCTCGCCGCAATCCCTGCACCGGCTCGGGGATCCCCTTCCCGGGGGGTGCGAGCCCATCCCGACCCCGCGGGGTTCCCCAAAAGCGGCCGGTGGGGAGGAACGGGGAACCGGGATGCGCTGAGCCCGCGGCGAGGGGCGGCTGCCCCGCTCCCCCGGCCGGAGCGTTTTTAAGGCACAAAGGTGCTCATTGTGCCCCAGCAAATCCCTAATCCCGCGCTGGTGCTGTGCCTGGCCAAGGCAGGCTGGCGGTGGGCTCCGGGACTCCGCTTCCCACCGGGAATCGGGTTTGGATCGGCCTCGGGATGCGCGCACGGCTCTCGGGAGGGAAACCAAACTCGGGGGATTTCTCCCCGCTCCCGGTGCGGGTGCTGGAGGCCGGCTCTTCCCTCGGGCTGCTTGCAGGAGCCGAGCTGCCGGTTGGGAGCAGGACTGGGGCCCCTGTTAATGATCACCCTCTGACCTCCGGGCTGCAGGGAGCAAAGTCCCTCGGTGCCCGAGCCGAGCGCCGGCCGCTCCGAGGGGAATTCACCGGCTTCTCCCCGCGAGCCGAGGTGGAAATTGGGGTGCCTGGTGGGGCCGGGGTGGGATCAGTCGTCTCCTCGGAGATGCCCCCCTCACCTCTCCCCGTTTCCCTCCCCCCAGCATGTTTCAGACCTTGTACAGCTATTTTTGGTGGGAACGGCTCTGGCTCCCGGCAAACCTCACCTGGGCTGACCTGGAGGACCGGGATGGGCGAGTCTATGCCAAAGCCTCTGACCTGTACATCACCCTCCCCTTGGCCTTCCTCTTCCTCGTTGTCCGGCACCTCTTTGAGACGTGAGTCCCTTCCCTGGGGGTGGGGACGGATCCTGAGCCCCCCGTCCAGCTCTCCCCGTGCCCTGGGGGCTGTGGCTGAACCCTGGGATGTGGCACCCTGTGCTCAGCCTAGCTGGGGGTCCTGATCCCCCCTAACAAACCCACGTGCTCCCCTTTCCCCACACAAACGCGGCGTTTAGACAGCGATTTGTTGGGCAAACAATGGGAACAGACCCGGCTTTGTTGGGACAGCAAGAGAAGGGGGGGCCGAGCGGGGACAGCCCGTGACAGAGGGACCCGGGGGGCTCCCTGTGGCAAAACCCACCCTGCAGGGAGCACGGCACTGAGTGCTTGGGGGGTCCTTGTATGACAAAATCATCCAGGTGACAGGAATGGGGACGTTGATGTCCCCAACTCCTTCCCCAGGTACGTGGCCACCCCCCTGGCCGGGCTCCTGAACGTCAAGGAGAAGGTCCGGTTAAAAGCCACCCCCAATGCGGTGCTGGAGAAGTTTTACGCTGCCACCAGCAAACACCCCAAGCAGGTGAGGGCTCGGGGGGGGGTCCCCAGAGGTGTCTGTGGGGGGGTGAGGGTGGCTGTGTGACGCAGCGGGGCTGCCCTGCTGTCCCCAGGCCGACGTGGAGATGCTCTCCAAGAAGAGCGGCTGCACCGTGCGCCAGGTCGAGCGCTGGTTCCGCCGCCGCCGCAACCAGGACCGGCCCAGCCTGCTCAAGAAATTCCGGGAGGCCAGGTGAGACCCTCCCTCCCTCCCTGCCTGCCTGCTGTCACTGTCCCTCCACCCTGGGGGGCTCTGGGAGTCCCAGCTTGGCCAGGAGCTGCCCGGGAGGGTGGGAGATGCGGGATCCGGGGCCGGCGGGTCCGTCCTCCTCCCTCCTGCTCCCCGGTGCCCGTCTGAGGACCGTCTGCTTCCTTTTTCCAGTTGGAGATTCACCTTTTACCTTATTGCTTTCATTGCTGGCATGGCTGTCATAGTGGATGTGAGTATTGCCCCCCTCCCCTTGCTCCCCCAGCCCCCCTGGCCCCTCTGACTTTGTGTCTCCCCCTCCCCATCCTGCAGAAACCTTGGTTCTATGACCTCCGGGAGGTGTGGAAGGGATACCCCATCCAGGTGAGCATGGATCCCATCCCAGCTTTTCCTGACCACCAGGATCTGCAGTGGCAACTGGAGGTGCAGTGGGGGAGTCTCGGGGGGGGGTGGGATGCTGGTTCTGCCCGTGACAGGATGGCTTTTCCTGGCAGGATCATGCACTGCACGATGTTCTATCCGCTGGAGCTCTACCCCGCCTTCTTTGGTTACTACTTCTTCAACTTCATGATGGTGGTGCTGCAGTCGCTGCACATCTTCTGGGCCTACCTCATCATCCGCATGGCCCAGAAGTTCATAACTGGAAAGGTGAGAGGGGGCCGTGGGGGCATCATGGGGGAAGGACCCACCCGGGGTCCTCTGCCGGGGAGACCCCCAGATGCTCAATCCTGAATGCTGAATCCCAGCTGCTCTTGGCTCACCAGATCCCCTCAGCGGGGAGAAACCGCTGTGGTTGCAATGGGGAAACTGAGGCACGGCAGGAAAATGGGGGGCTGGTGCCTGAACCCCCTTTTCCCTCTGCCCACAGGTGGTGGAGGACGAGCGGAGTGACCGTGAGGAGACGGACAACTCTGAGGAGGAGGAGGAGGTGGCCAAGAACGGGCCCCTCTCCAACGGCCACCCTGTCCTCAACAACAACCACCGCAAAACCGACTGAGTGCCCCGGACCCGAGAGCTGCCACCTCCTGCCACCGGCCCGGCCCCTCCGGCCGCTCCACACCGGGACCCCGGAGCGTCTGCCGGGCCCCACCCCTCGGGAGCGGGGCCGCAGCTCTGCCTCACACTCACCGCTGGTGCCCTTCCACCTCTCACCTGCTGCCTTAATCCACTGCGGTTCCCCGGGACAGGCGGGGAGCGCACCGGGACGGCTCCATCCCCCCGGGGCGGCTCCTTCCCGCCCCGCAGCCCCTGGGATTGGCTCTGGCCGAAGGGCTCGGCCCCAGCCCCTTGCCGGGCTCTGTGTTATTCCTACTTTCCCAAGCATTCCTTCACCGGGGGGAGGGGGAAAAGCCCCTTTCCCTGAGCTGCGTCCGGCTGGAAAAGCCGGCTCAGCCCCTGCTCCGCCGAACTGGGAGGGAGGAGCAGGGAATTCCTGGGTGTTTCAGGGCCTGAATGATGGGATGACACTGTGGAAGTACTTGGGGGAAGGAAGCTGCGGGGCTGAGTCACTCCTTGTGTCTCACAGAGTTTAATCCTCTCTCATTTCTCTTCGGTAAATGGATTTTGAGTCTCTCCCTCTCTGTGGCCTCTCCCAGCTGTAACAGGACAAATTTCCAACTTGATTTTTCCTTTTTTTTGGTTTTTTTTTTTTTTTGTTTTTTTTTCCTCCTTTTCTTTCTATTTATTTGGAAGACAGAAGGAGCCGGGCTTGGCTCTGTCTCCTGCATCCTTTGGGATGCTGTGAGACCTCCCAGCACGGAGGGGTGGGGGGAAAAAGGACCAGTAACCAATGTCAGACCAAAACGTGTTTTGTTATTGTTTTTTTGGGTTGTTTTTTTTTTTTTTTTTAATAAATAAAAGGTTAAATATATTAAAAGTTTAAAAAACTAATAAACTTGGGTAAAAAAAATACAGGATTTGGGCATGTTCTGTGAGTGGCACAGTGGCCCTGGCTGGGAGGTTATTTTGGCATAGATCCCTTAGGCAGTGCTAAAAATGGGCAGAGTTGAGGATTTTGATGGTTTTTATATATTTTTTTTTCTCCTTAAAGTCCTCCAAGTCTTCAAGCCCAGGCTGGAGCGTGGGTTTGGGTTCCCTGAGGAGCTGCAGCCCCGCTGGGATGACAAAGCCTCCATTGAGATGGACACTCAGGATGGAGCTGGAGCTCCAGGAGGCCCCAGAAAGGTTTTATTTTACAAAGGAAAAAACCAAAAAAAACCGGTTATTTAGCAGAAAAGAAGCCAACAAGCCTCCCTTGTGCAGGGCTGCTTGGAGTGGGCTGTGTTGGTTATGGGGGGCTGGGATGGTTGGAATTGACTCCAGCACCTCCCGGATTTTTCCACGTCAATAACGTGAGATTTGATCCCGGTTTGTCAAACCTCACCTCTTTCATCCAGTTCTCAGGGTGTTTTTTAAAACCCTTTGGATCTGCCCTGCTGCCTTCCCTCCTCCCAAACAAAAAGGAAACCCAAACCCCACAGCTGGGACTGGGGCCTCTCCCTCCCTCCCCTGCCCGGGGACCCGGAGCCAGTCTGGGGCTGTCCCCAGCTCGGGGCTCTCTGTGACATTTTGGGAGGGCAGCAGATGGGGAGAGGCACCACATCTGCTTCCTCAACAAAATCCTAACCCCTTCCTCTGTAATTTTCCCCAGTGGAAGGGTTTAAGGAGTGTTTGTTTTGAGGAAAGGTGAAGGAAAGGTGAAAATGTGGGAGCTCCTTACTGCTTTGCCTGGGCCCATCCACGCCTGGCATTTTTCCTGCAAACTCCACGGAAACAAAGATGATGGCAGCAGTTCAACTCTGCTTTTTCAGGGCTCTTTGCTGTGTCTCGAGATCAGGGTAGGTTGTTTTTAATAGAAAAACACACTTTTATTGCTTTTTAGCAACTGAAAGATTCTTTACAGCTCACAGATGAAGACAGATAATTACTTTTTGTCTTTTTTTTTTTTGCCTGAATTCTATAAATCCTGATCGGTCCAGTCTTCCAGGGACTCTTTCCACCACCCTCCCTCCCACTTCCAAGGCCTTAGTCCCTACTGGGAAACACTTCCCAGGAACAGTGGGGAAGTGCTTGCTGCTGGAAAAAGGAGGTTTATGCCTTCAATTTGGTGGAAAGATGGAAGAGAGCAGGAAAAGCTCATTCCTTGAGAGAGCCTGCTGTCTTGTGGGATAACTGGAGCCTCTGGAATGTGGGAGAAGCCCAGGCAGGCTGGGAATCACCCCCCAGCACAGCCCAAGCCCCTTCCTGCTCTGTGTCCATCTGTGATTTTCCAGCTGAACGGGAGAACTGAGAACTTCTGCAGAAGAAACTTCACCCTCACTGAGGGAAAGTGAGCACCAGGCCTCTGGAGAGGTGGGAGCTGCTGGGAGGGAGCAGGGGGGGCTCAGAGCAGCCGGCCCCGGCAGTCGATGGCCCCGCAGCAGCACAGCAGCTCCTTGCCCTCCACGCTGCCAACCTCGTAGTTGTAATCCCAGGTCAGCTCTGTGCCAGCTCTGATCCGCCTGGGAGGGACAAAAACCACACAGGATGGGTGAGGAGAAACTGGATGAGAGAAGGAAGGCACGCTTCCATGTGAAAGGGATAAAGCTGCCTGAGGAATCGTTCCTGTGAGGGTTCACTGGGGGAGCAGAGGCACACGGCAGGGGTTCACCACGACTCAAAGATTGGGGAGTAAAACAAGAGGGGAAATTGGCTGCTCCATGCCTCACTCAGGTCCAAAACTGGTGGAAATCACACCAGAATCTCCAGCACAAGAGAGAGGATCTCACCTACCACCGAGGTTTTCTCTGCACAGGAATGATGGGAAACAGGGAATGGGGTTTCCAGGAGCAGGGAACACCCAGCCCTGGCCATGCTCCCACCAAAACCCAGGAATTCCAGCTCCTCCCAGCACTCCAGGACTCACTTGCTGGCAAAGAAGGCGACCCAGGGGAAGCGAAGGTCGTGGGTGTCCACGAAGACGTTCTGCACGAAGAGGTTTGGGGTGCAGCTGTGCTGTAATGGCAACAGAGAAGAGCCTGAGCTGCTGCCTGGGCAGGGAGGCCGAGCTGCCAGCACTGAACAGAGCCTTTATAAACAAGCAGCATTCCTGGTTTGCCTGCCACATCCAGTGGAATCCTGCTGGAACAGGCTGCACGCCCGGGCTGAGTCATAAGATCCACAAAGGTAACGGGCTCTGGAAGGACTGACAGGGCCGTTCCTGCTCCCACCAGGCTGGAGCAGCTGTTTTTTCACTCAGGAAGGTGCATCATCCTCCCAAACCTGCTCTTTCCCTGCTTCTCCCTCTGCTCCAGGATGAGGCTGAGGCAGCCAGGGAGAAAGGGATGAAATTCCCTGAGGAATTATTCCTGTGAGGATTCACCGGAGGAGCAGAGAGACACACGGCAGGGATTCACCACGACTCAAAGATTTGGGAGTAAAACAAGAAGGCAAACTGGCTGCTCCATGCCTCACTCTGCCCCTTGGAAGGTCTAAAACTGGTGGAAATCACAGCAGGACTGGAGAGGAAGAGCCCCATTGAGCAGTTTGCAGTTCGTTTGAGGGGACTCCCTAGGGGCCCCCTAAACTGCACTGGTAGCAGCAGGCAGGCAAGGAGACCCCACTAATTAGAGGGGTGCTAATTAAATGAGGGTTTATTGGGGGTTCCAACCTCGTGAGCAGCATGGTTTCTGAGGAAGAAGGGGGAGGGAGAGAGAGAGCCTGGAGAGAAAAGGGGCCAAGAGAACGCTCAGCTTAACAGGGAGATTCAAACCGGGAATAAAACTTGGCCCAACGCGATTACAACCACGCCACCCTTCACGGGAGCATCACTTACACCAAACCCTGCATTCCCCAGGGGTGATCACACCACTGAACTCAAACGTAGCACTCACGTTGAGGTAGCGGCCCAGGTTGCCCTCGAGCTTGGCGTCGATGATGTAGCAGTTCTCCTCGCCGTCGTAGAACTGCCGCGTGCTGCGGCGCACGGGCCCCGCGCTCTCGCCCTTGTCGGCCGCCGCCAGCGGCGTGGATTTGATGGCGATGCCGTGCGTGGATTTCAGGGCGAAGCCTCGGGTGGATTTCACGGCCACCTGTCTCTTCACGGGACCTGCTGCGAGATGGGATCGTCCAGCAGGGCTGTGAACCACCCGCTGCTCCACTCAGGGGTGACAAACCCCTCCGAGCCCAAACACCGCTCCGGGATGGCTCCGAGATCAACCCAGCCCTGCTCCGGGATGGATCTTGGAATCAATCCAGCCCTTCTCCGGGATGGATCCTAGATCAACCCAGCCCAGCCTGCAGACCCACCACAAGCCTCACTGTTGCTTTTTCTTAAAACACCCAAAAATATCTGCTTTTGAGGAGCAGGTTTTGGAGTTTTGTCTTGCCAAACGCATGGGGAAGGTTCCAAGCTCAGCTGTGGGACACAGCTAGAGCTCTTCCTGGTGCTTTCCAACCAAAACTTCTCACCCTCAGCCCTGGTCTCCCCCCTCACCTGACCCAGATGATGGATTTTTCTTGTCCTCCTCTTCCTCAGATCCTGAGGAAATGGTCTGGATGTCGTCGCTGTCGTTGGCTGTGCCCGGGGCCTGCCCTGCCCTGTGCTCCTCGTCGCTGTCGGTGCTGCTCGACACCATCAGCACATTCTGGGGACAGGAACAGCTCCTGGAGTGCATCCCAGCCTCCCTTTTCCCAGGAATATGGTGCTCTCCTCCAGCCCACCCCCTCTGTTCCTACCCTTTGGAAAGAGATCCCCCCCTCTCTGGGCACCACATCCCACAGGTCAGTGTTTGGAACACCGGTGGGATTTTGGGGGGCTGCTGAGTTCTGCTTGAGATCCTGCAGCATTAGGTGTTCAAAAGGAAGGGAGAAGTCCCCAAAAAAACAAGGATAGTTCACCAGGATGCCTTCCTGCAGATGGCTCTGGCAAACAGTGAGTCCCAGGTGTGCAAACCAAGGTGCCAAACCCCACCCAAATCCCACACTCTCCTCTTTATTTGATTGTTCAGATCCACAAAAGACCCCCAAAACCCAAAGGAAATCGACTGCCCTCCAGGAAATCACAGCTCAACTGGGAACCAAAGGCAGAAAACAACCCAAAAGAAGGCTGAAGAAGGGGTTTGGGGGTGGCCCCTCCAGCCTGGGGGTCTCACTCACCTCTGAGGTGGGCGGTGGGGCCAGGGATCGCCGGCGGCTCTGCAGCAGCACCGTCCCGCTCAGCGGCCTGCGGATCCCCTCCAGCCTGGGAGGGCAGGGGTTGTAGCCATACCTCCTTCCCAGGCTGCTCAGCCTGCAGGGACAAGAGCAGCTCACACCCGGATCTCCAGGGAAACTGTCCACAGGCCAGGTGGAAAAAATGATTTAAGGAATCTTACCCAGGAATTTTGGTTGATTCTTCAGGTTCCTGCAGAGGGGAGAAGGACAGATGATTGGAATCTCTCCCTTCTTGAGCACTCTCCTGCCTTTCTATGGAATTGTTCCCCAAAATGCCAGCCCAGGAGGGAGATGCTGCCTGTCCCCACACTCAGTGTGACACCCAGCATGGAGATGCCCCCCCTGGAGGACTCCAAGTGCCCTCCCTGGAGCAGGCAGTGGACAGGGACCACCTCCATGTCCCTGCTGTCCCCAGCTGTGTCCCTCAGGTCCCCAGGCAGGAGGATGTTCAGCTCTGCTCTCATCAAGTGACTTTTGCAGCCTCTTGTGCCACAAACTCCCTCCCTGGGAGGGGAAAAGCCAGAGAAGCCAGGGGAGCTGAGCACAGGGACATCCAAGAGCCCCACAGTCCCCCTGGATGTGCTGCATGGGTAGAAAAGCCCCTGGAGCAGGAGCACCTCCCTGCCTTTAACTCTCCCATTCCCTCACCTCCTTCTTGGCCACCTTCGCCTCTCCATTCAGATCTCCTGGCGTGGAAGCACAGCCCTTCTCCCTTTCC